GCGCATAGGAAGGACAGATTGCAGATCTAACTGAAGATAAAAAGAAATAAAACATGGAGTAGAAAAACAACTGGGGGGCAAGATTTCAGTCTTGGGATGGAAAGATGGCTCAGAGGTTAAGAGCACTGGCTGCGCTTCCAGAGGTCCTGAGTTCAATTCCCAGCAACCACATGGTAGCTCACAACCATCCACAATGAGATCTGGTGCCCTCTTCTGGCGTGCAGACATACATGGAGGCAGGATGTTGTATTCATAATAAACAAATGAATCTAAAAAAAAAAAGATTTCAGTCTTACTAGGCAAGCACTATACCACTGAGCTGTATCTGAAGCTTTCCAAGAGGAAGGCTAAAGAGAAACTGAGCAATGTCTATGAGAATGAGAAAGTCTAATGTAGCTGAAGCTCAAGAGCATGGGAGAGAGACTGAGAAGAAGCAGTGTCATAGGAGAACCTATGTTGGTGGAAGGGAAGGATACACTTCCATAGCTACCTCTATGTGGGCCTTAATCCCATTTACAAAGGAGCCTGGATGCTTTTACAAGTCTCACCTCTAAGCTGGGCATTGGTGGCGCACGCCCTTAATCCCAGCACTCGGGAGGCAGAGGCAGGTGGGTCTCTGTGAGTTCGAGACCAGCCTGATCTACAATAGCTAGTTCCAGGACAGCCTCCAAAACCAGCCTTGCTCCAGGTTCAGTGAGGGACCCTGTTTCAAGGGAACATGGCAGAGAGTCATAGAGCTGGACACACACATGCATAGGCCACACATACACCACATTCATACGCATACATACATATGCCAAAATGAATTTAAATGATAATGGAAAGAGGTGAGGCTTTTGTTATTATTATTATTATTATTTGTTTTTGTTTTGTTTTTCGAGACAGGGTTTCTCTGTGACTTTGAAGGCTGTCCTGGAACTAGCTCTTGTAGACCAGGCTGGTCTCGAACTCACAGAGATCCGCCTGCCTCTGCCTCCCAAGTGCTGGGATTAAAGGTGTGAGCCACCACCGCCTGGCTATTTGTTTTTTTGAGACAGTCTTATGTAGTTCAGGCTGTACTCCCTATGTTGCCAAGGATAATCATGAACTCTTGATCTTCCTGTCTCTACCTTCCAAGTTCTGGGATTATAGGTCATTAAGTTTTAGCACTGAAATTTTATAGAAGACAGATCCTATCATAGCACATCCTATCCAGAGGTAGGCACGGCTGGCTATGGTCCCTGGCTGGCAGAGTCCTGTGGATGTAATGTGAGTGTCCATTCTAGACGCTTAACTCCTTCTTACAGGTGCTGAAGTCCACAGGGGATGTGGTTGCAGGGCGGGCCCTGTATGAGGGGTATGCAACGGTCACTGATGCACCCCCAGAATGCTTCCTCACCCTCAGGGACACAGTACTGCTGCGCAAGGAATCTCGGAAGCTTATTGTTCAGCCCAACACTCGCCTCGAAGGTAATGGATGTTGCACCCATCCGATGGAGCTACCTGGGTTCTTTCCAGAGAACAAATGACACACTTGGCTCAGGGAGGGCCCCCTCTCTGCCGTGTTCTTTCTGGCAAACTGTGGCACTTTCCATCTCACACACCTGGACACTGGCTGTCAGGCAGCAGCAAGAGATCTCAGGAAGGCCAGCAGAGGAGGAACTTGTGGAGGTCGGGCCAAGGCTTGGAGGATCTGAAAGGTCCTAGCAGGAGGTAAAGTCAGGCAATGAACTGGGACTGCACAGGCCAAGCAGAACCTAAGAGAATTTGAAACATCAGCGTTAAGGATGGAGATGTCCTTGTTCCTCTCCCCTTCTCAAATAACATTTCCACGTCTAGAATGCCTGCGTGGAGCTGGTACCTCGTGTGCCTTTTTATCGCCCCAGTGCTCTGAGTCCATCCTGCTTGGCAGCCTTTGTCCATGCTGCTCCTTCCACTGGGCTTGATCGCTCTCAGATCCGTGCCTGTCCTCAGGTCCCTGTTACACGGCACCCTCCTGAGGCATGCTGACTCCAGCCCCTCCACACAAAGTAACCCCTTAAATCTCTTATCTCCTGGCTTCATTTTCCTTGTGCTTTGATACATCCACTCCAGGGATGGAGCAGTGGATGGGACCCATCCCATTAGGAGTGAGAACAAATAGAGATACTAATCACACAGGGAAACATTCATGAGTGTCTTAAGGATACTAACAGTGCTCTGAACACTTGGATAAAGATCCCATCTATAACTTTATAGTATCCAGGAAAGTTCTTGGGCGGAAGTGGTGGTGCTTAAACCAGAACTGAGGAGCATGTTGGATTTTTCAAAGGTAGTGGTATGTCCTAATGGTGGAGCATTTGCCCAATATGTAATAGGCCCTGGGTTCCACCCCCAGCACTTTGGTAGTTGCTAGTGTGGTGATGGTGGTGGAGGACTTGCAGGTCCTGGGTACTATGTTTTCACAATAGTCTGGGTTGGTAGCTCTCTGGCAGCATGATCTGCACTGCCAGATAAGGCCCTAGGTATCATCCCCAGTACTGAAAAAAGGAAGAACCTCTCAAGGATTAACTCCAAAGCCCAATGAAGCTTTCATCTGTGAGCTCAAATACACACACACACAGCTTTGTCACATTTGCCTCAGGCCATACAGCTAAGTGGGTGCAGAGTCAAGACTTGAACCTGAGCCATGCTAGCCTGAAGCCTGCACTCTTAACTACTGTGAACCTCTCAGTGCACACACCACACACAGGTCAAAGGTAGAGCAACTGAAGAGGGATAAAGGGAGTGCTTCCTGCTAGAATTCAGGGGCCTGGAGACGGGCCCAGTTAACAGGTAAGATGCTCAGAGATGCTGCTGCTGAGGTAGCTAGCACTCACTGAGCACCAACTGATGCTATGATACATAACCACAGCACCTCGACAGAAGAGGTAATGTGCTTATTCCCACTTTACTTGTAAGGCACTGAGGTTTAGTACAGCTGGGAAGATTGCCCGTGGCCTACACAGGTGAATTAGTTGCTGGACTGTGAGTTTCAAGAGGCCAAGGACTGTATCTGTTTCATATAATATATCACTTAAACACTGATTTTAGATTTATGTGTGTTTTGCTTGCATGTATGTACATGCACCATGTGTCCACACAATGCCCACAAAAGGGACTGGATGGTTGTGAGTCACCGTGTGGGTGCTAGAGGCCAAGCTGAGTGCAGCCTGGGTCCTCTGTAAGAGCAACAAGTGCTCTTAGCCCCTGAGCCATCTCTCCAGCCTCCTGACATAGCACTGTTACTGACCATCCTTGTTAGTGATTGTTGGGGTTTGCTTTGGTTTGGTTGAGGCTAGAATTCTCTAGGATTATGGTATGTACCGCCATGCCAGACTTGATTTGAACCTTGACTTAGGGAAGGCTGGTAGCAGTCCATTTAATCTGCTGTACTTCTGCCTTCCTCACAGGTTACTCTAATTACTGAATTAGATAACTGGCCTGCACGTTGAACAGTTTGTGCCAAGAGCTCAGTCGGGACTCGCTGCTCTCAGGATGTTGTTACGACTCTGCTTCCCTAGTCACATCTCTCTCGGTTTTCTCTCCATCTCCTCCCAGGTTCGGAAGTACAGCTTGTCGAGTATGAGGCCTCAGCTGCTGGTCTCATCCAATCCTTCTGTGAGCGTTTTCCAGAAGATGGGCCTGAGTTGGAGGACGTCCTTACCCAGCTGGCCACAGCAGATGCCGGATTCTGGAGGGACCAGGTCAAGGAGGCCCCAGCTGGCCAGGCTTGAGAAGATTTCGTGATTCCTTTCCCCACTCCATCAAACCAGGGCCACCAGTGGCCCTGCCTTGTGTGTGTGATTAGGAGTGGGGGGGGCAGGGGGGAGCTCTGACTCTGGTGCTACCTCAGCTGAGGGTGGTGATGCTAACCCTTCCATTTGTCAGCACTTTCCAGTTTACCAAGTGCTTCCTCAGTTCCTTGGTCTGCACTGCCATCTTTGGAGGGAGCTCCACAGGCTGCCTACTCCAGTTCCCTACATGGGACAGTGGCAGTTCTGAGAAGTGACTGGTCTAAATCTGGCAGGTGGCATGTGACAGAGCCAGGGTTCAAAGCTCACCAAATCCAATGCTCTTCGTGTATTACTTTTATAACCAGAAAAATAAATACGACAAACCACCATCATCTTTGCTATATGTGTGATTCTTCCTCTCTGGGTTCAGAGCCTGTGGAAGGCACAGCACTGCAGTTCTGGCTTCCAGTTCACAACAGGATTTTGATATTGTCTCTAAAGGAAAGCACAAAGGCATAGTATGAACTCTCCTTTGTGACACAGTTTTAATATTTATTTTTTATTTATTTATCTATTTATTTTTTGTTTTTCAAGACAGGGTTTCTTTGTATTGTTTTGGAGGCTGTCCTGGCACTCGCTCTGTACACCAGGCTGGCCTCGAACTCACAGAGATCCGCCTGCCTCTGCCTCCGGAGTGCTGGGATTAAAGGTGAGCGCCACCAACGCCCCGCTCCCTTTAGTATTCATTTTTATGTGCATGTGTGCATTTTCTCACTGTGAGCTGATCCCAGCAGAAGCTAGAAGACGGCATCGGATTCCCCTAGAACTATACCTACACAATTGTGAGCTGCTGTGTGGGTGCTGAGAAGCGAACCGGGGACCTCTGCAAGATTAGCAAGCATCTTGTACTTTATAATATTTCAGGACCTTAAGAGCTAGTACCCATCAACTTGAGATCCTGCCATTGAATCCTCGTGGTTTGCTTCACAGAGCTTGGACCTCTACAGAATGACAGTCAGAAAAGACATGACCCTTCCAACTGGGTTAACCATAAAAATTGAGGTAGTTCATTTTGATGGTCTTAACCCCCAACAAGGGCTCCTCCCCAGTCCTCGAAGCAAGGACCCTGTTATCGGTGCAGAAACCATAAATCAAAATAATGTAAGGGAAATTGCCGGCAAGGAAACCGCCGCTTATCTTTTCTGGTTCCAGCCGGGACAATTTCATTCCGGAACGTTTGTTTCTGTGCTTTCTGGTATCCGGGTACTATTGGGTGTTGCGCAACGGCGGGGGTAGTTGCCAAGGCGACGCCAGGGAAGATGGCTGCAACGCTTTCATCGGATTCCGACAGCGGGAAAGCTGAGAGGTGAAGTCCCTGATTCTCACGGCTTCCTTTTCCTCAGATAAGTAGATGGCGCCTTGGTGCCGGGTCCTGGACTCTTGCTTTCGGTGTGCGCTGAAAGTTCTGAAAGAGCCGTTTAGAAATCAGTAACGGAAGCCGAAGGCCAAGAAGCGTATCTGTGTCTATGTAATCACTCCGGGCGCCAAGTGATCCCAGATTCTCCTTTCTCCGTGTTCTCAGACTCAGGCATCATCTTTCTCAGAGCTTTCTTCCTGTCCCGTGGGACTCACTTTCCAACTATCCTCTCCTTTCCCTCGCAGCAACGAAGCCAATTCGAAATGGCTGGATGCGCACTACGACCCCATGGCCAACATCCACACCTTCTCCTCCTGCCTGGGTGAGTCCTCAGACCTAGGAAAGCCCGGATTCTGGGAGGATGGGATAGTGAAGCCTTTGGGACTCTCATTTACGACCCTCTTGTGTTTTCCAGCTCTGGCAGATTTGCATGGCGACGGGGAGTACAAGGTAGGCAATCAGAAAGTTGAGTGGGGAAAACTCAGAAGTGAGATTTGCAAAGAGGGGCAACATACTCTAGAACCGAAAAGGCACATATAGTTGGAACTTCTTTCTTTCTTTTAATTTTTTGAATTTATTTAACTTGATTTTATGTGCATTGGTGTGAAGGTTTCAGATCCCCTGGAACTGGAGTTACAGTTGAGTTGTGAGTGGGTGCGGGAAATTGAACCTGGGTCTTCTGGAAGAGCAGCCAGTGCTCTTAACCACTGAGCTATCTCTCCAGCCTCCGGAACTTCTTTCTTTCAATGATTTATTTATTTTTATTTTATGTGCATTGGTGTGGGTTGGTTTTTGTTTTGTTTTGTTGCTGTTGTTTTGTTTTTGCATGTATGTCTGTGTGAGGGTGTCAGATCCCTTAAAACTGGAATTGCAGACCGTTGTGAGCTGCCATGTTGGGTGCTGGGAATTGTTCAGGGTCCTCTGGAAGGGCAGCCATCCTCTAACCACTGAGCCATCTCTCTAACCCCGGACTTTCTTTTTAATTTAGATAGTAAACATTTTATAACATGATCTGTAGAAATAAAGCAGAAAGAAAAAGTGTAGATTTATAATGCCCAGATATATTGTTCTCTAAAAATTAATTTGGAGGCTGGGAGTGGTGATGCATGCCTTAATTACAGCATTTGGGCAATAGAGACAGGTAAAGATCTCTTTGAGTTTGAGACTAGCCTGACAAGCTTGAGGCCAGTCAGAACTACATAGTGAGATCTTGCCTCAAAACAAACAAACAAACAAAAAAACCCCACAAAAAACCAATCCCAAAACAAAATTAGCATCAAAGTTAAACTTAAAATTTTATTTATTTATTTAGTGTGTAAAAGGACATAAGGAGTGTGGAGGTCAGATGACAATGTTGAGAGTCAGTAGGCCCCAGTTCTTAATGTCTAATTGTTGTTGCTTAATGTTTTAGTTTATCATACAAAATAATGGGCTTAAAAATAAGAAATGATTCACAAAACCTTTTTTGTTTGCTTGTATATTTCATTTTGTTTTAAGATAAAGTCTCTCAACGTAGTAGTCTTGGCTGTCTTGGAACTCACTATGTAGACCAGGTTCCAGACTGACCTCAAACTCGCAGAGATCCACCTTCCTCTGCCTCCCAAGTGCTAGGATTAAAGACATGTGCCACCATGCCCATTTTCTATGTCATCTTTGAGTAGACACTATACTAATAATCTTCTCTATATCATCTGAGTCTTAGGCTATGCGCTGCTGAAGTGAGCCTCTTAGTTTAGGTGTTGCGTCATGATTCTTTGGTGCAAGGGAAAATACCTTGTTTGGGAATGAGCAGTAAAGTGTCGTTGGGTAAAGGTGCTTGCTGCTAAAAGGAGAGAACCAACTCCCTAAAGTTGTTTTCTGATCTCTATATGCGTGCTGTGTCATGGATGTGCTCACACACGCAAAAATATATGTAATTTAGAATATGAAGGGAGACAAAACTCAGGGAAGTGAGCTTTTTCTGTTTCTCAAGAGGGCATAGATTATCAAGAGGCTAGTGATTGTAGACACTGATAATGTTTTTATAGGGTCCATAATATTTTCTCCTTTTCTTTATAATTAGAAATTTCCCTTAGTAAAAACTTGATTTCAGCAGGGCAGTGGTGGTGCATGCCTTTAGTCCCAGCACTCGGAAGCCAGAAGCAGGCAGGTCTCTGAGTTTGAGGCCAGCCTGGTCTACAGAGTGAATTCCAAGACAGTCAGGACTACATAGAGAAACCCTATCCCTAAAAAAAAAAAAAAATCAAAACAAAAACTTGATTTCAATACAAATATAAGATAGATATATTTAGCTCCAAAACAGAGAATATTACAAGTATGTTCAAAGTCCTATGTTCAGTCTCCACCACCACAGTAAAAGAAGAGGAATGAAGCCGGGCCGTGGTGGCACACGCCTTTAATCCCAGCACTAGGGAGGCAGAGGCAGGCCTGGTTTACAAAGCAAGTTCCAGGATTGGTTCCAAAGCTACACAGAGAAACCCTGTCTCGAAAAACTAAGAAAAAAAATAATAAAATAGAGGAATGAATGATGAAGGATATAAGTTCTTCATCTGCCTCCCCTGAGCACTCACCAGGCTCTGTAATTCAGATTTCAGTTGATCTTCTCCAGGTGTCATGGGATCCACATTTCCATTTTGGAAAAGAGAAACCTGAATTCAAAATGGCTAATTAGCTTTCCTAAGGGGATCCCTGTAATACACACACACACACACACACACACACACACACACACACACACACACACACACAGACCTAGAGACAGATATTGGGGTTCAAGCTGAAGATCAGGGAAGCAAAGCAGCCAAGGTACCAGAGAGCTCTTACCTCTAACAGGGCTGGGGCATTCCTATTCTCAAAGTGGCTGGAGAATGAATGATAGTGAGACCTTGCTCCTGACTTGTATACCTCCCTAATGCTGGAATTAAAGGCGTGTGAGCCCAGGTACTGGGATCAAAGGCATGAGCTGTTTCTCTTTAGGACTGGACCAATATCGTGTATCCCTGGGTGACCTTGGACTCAGATCCAGCTACCTCTTAATTCTGAGTCCTGGAATGAAAGGTGTGTGCCTGGCTTCTATGGCTTGTGGCTGACTTTGCTTTCTGAGTTCTCAGGCAAGCTTTAACAAACCATAAATAATATATCACTACAGCTCCCTCTTCCAAGCCCATGGAGAAACCTTTGTGACCGTGAGGATGGACTAGTAAGCACCAACAAAAAGGCGGAATCTAAGAAGCTCATTAAAGAAATGGCCATATACTGAATGATCTCCTCTCTCTGCAGCTGGTGGTGGGAGACCTTGGCCCAGGTGGGCAGCAGCCCCGCCTGAAGGTGCTCAAAGGACCAACGGTGCTGACTGAAAACCCACTGCCTGCCCTGCCAGCCTCTGCTGCCACCTTCCTCATGGAGCAACATGAGCCCAGGACGCCAGCCCTGGCACTTGCCTCAGGGCCTTGTGTCTATGTATACAAGAATCTTAGACCCTACTTCAAGTTCAGCCTGCCCCAATTACCTCCAAACCCTCTGGAACAAGATCTATGGAATCAAGCCAAAGAGGTAAGTGACCTGGGGAACAAGAATGCAGCTACTGAATGAGGAGGACCAGACTCTCAGAAGGGTGGCCTCACAAACGGGCCAATAGTGAGTGGTACGCCATAGCCCACCTCTGGCAGCAGAAGTGAGATGCTGTGCTTAGCCCTGAGGAATAGATTCCAGGGAAGCACTGAGCCAGGTCCTTTGGAGAGCAGAAGCCAGAGAACCTCTCTGTGCTAGCCACATCCCTTCCTACCAGTGGGGGAAGGGAAACCAGAGAAGGGAGAGGCTCACTAGAGTGAATGGGGAGGCAACAGTAAAGAGGATGATGGGTAAGAACATGATTCTGAGGCTGGATTCAAAGGTCTTGGACTTGGGGTTCATGCCAGGCGGTTGGAAAAAAAAGTCAGAGAGGAAGACCTACCCCAAGACTAGATGTAGTGAGCTGGCTGAAGACACCGCTGCTAGAGCTCACAGGCTCTCCCCTCTCTCTGTGCTGACACAGGACCAGATCGACCCCTTAACCCTGAAGGAGATGCTGGAGGGCATCCGGTGAGAGCCCACCTCCCCACTTTCCACTGTTTCATCCCAAAATTCTGCTGTGAACACTCAATAAAGCTGCTATTTTGGCCACTCTTATTTCAGGGAAAAGGCAGAGGTACCTTTGTCTGTACAGTCACTCAGGTAGGAGTCCTGTGGCGGCAGGGAGAAGGGGCTGTCCAGACTGGCCCTGGGGCAGCCAGGTCATAACATGCAGGTGCTAATTCTGTGTGTTTACAGGTTTCTGCAGCTGGAGCTGAGTGAAATGGAGGCATTTGTGAACCAGCACAAGGCCAAGGTTATCAAGCGGCAGGTAATGCCCTTTCTCTTTCTGTTGCCCTATGGAAGTGCTGACATTTTAAATTGTGTGTTCTTATGTGTGGTCAGGTGTATATGTGTGCCTTCATGGGCGTGGAGGCCAGAGGATGACCTCAGGTGCCGTTCTCAGGAATGCCGCCCATCTCCTTTGATATAAAGTAGCTCTTGACATAGAGCTCACCAATTAAGTTACACTAGCTGGCCAGGATCCCCTAGTGATTGAGCTGTTTTCGCCTCCCCAGCACTGGTATTATAGGGACATATCACCATGCCTGGCATCTCTTGCATGACTTTTGGGGATCAAACTCAGCTCCTACTTTCCAGGCAAGCACTTTACCAACAGAATTATATCCCAGTTCCAAACACTCATGAGAAAGGGAGGAGGAGATGGAGGGAGAAAGGAAGAGAGGGAGCATGCAACATCAGCAGTTAATGCTAACTCTGAGCCTGCCAATGGCACTCTGCAGTTTTCCTTCCAGCCATACTACATGTCGAGGGTCTCAAAGCAGGGTACCTCTTTATTTGTAGTTGACAGGGATGGCTCTGAATAGCTGTGACATAATTTTAATTATCAAACTGATCAATGATAAAGATAATTACTTCTTTTTTTTGTTTGTTTGTTTTTCGAGACAGGGTTTCTCTGTATTGTTTTCGAGGTTGTCGGTCCAGCCTGGCCTCGAACTCACAGAGATCCGCCTGCCTCTGCCTCCCGAGTGCTGGGATTAAAGGTGTGCGCCACCATCGCCCGGCAATAATTACTTCTTAATACAGAATATTTAGAAAATAAAGAGAAATATAAAGATGATTCCACTACATAGAGACGCCCACTTCTTACATTTTTGTACATTTTTTTCATAAATGTGCTCTTCATGCTGCTTCTCTTGAATAACATTTTGAGAACACCATATTTTGAGCCTTAATAGCCTTTGAGAACTCTAATTCTCATTAATAGCTCATTAATTTGTTTAATTGGTTATTTGTGATTTCTTTCATTGGTATTGGTTTGGTTGCTTTGGGTTTGGTTTTTTTTTGTTGTTTGTTTGTTTTGTTTTTTTTTTGAGACAGGGTTTCTCTGTATTATTTTGGAGGTTGTCCTGGAACTCACTCTGTAGACCAGGCTGGCTTCGAACTCACAGAGATCCGCTTGCCTCTGCCTCCGGAGTGCTGGGATTAAAGGTGTGCACCACCAACACCTGGCTTGTTTTTGTTTTTGTTTTTGTTTTGTCCCCGTCCCCCCCCCCCGCCCTCCCCATCCCCCCCCCAGACAGGGTTTCTCTGTGTAGTCCAGACTGTTCTGGAACTCACTCTGTAGACCAGACTGCCGTACACCAGACTGGCCTCAAACTCACAGAAATCAGCTGTCTCTGCCTCCCGAGTGCAGGGATAAAAGGTGTGTGTTACTGTGGCCAGCTTGGATCTTCTTTTAAAACATGTTCTTATTGTTTAGAGAGTTTTGTTTTGTTTTGTTTTTGAGATAAGGTCTTGCTAAATAGTTCTGGCAGGCCTGGAACTAAATAACTTGATTTGTAAGCCAAGCTCACCCTTGAACATGCAGCAATCCTCCTGCCTCTGTTTCCCCAGTGGTATGATATCAGGTATGAACCAGATACTCAACTCTTCAGTGTGTGGCCATGTTGATTTTGACTATATGAGTAACTCATAAGTGCTTTAGACAATGCTCATTGTTAAGAGTTTAGGTTTGTTGCAAAACTCTTTTCCATTAACATTCAGACACGCCTCATCCTTGCTCCTCTTTTGCCCTCTTCCTTCCCTCCTCTGGCTCTGGGGATGTCTGGGACCATGGTGGAGTCCTTCTGCAGACAGTCATCACCACCATGACCACCCTGAAGAAAAACCTGGCGGATGAGGATGCGGTGTCATGCCTGGTGCTGGGCACTGAGAACAAGGAGCTCCTAGTGCTTGACCCTGAGGCCTTCACCATTTTGGCCAAGGTCAGTGTCAGGTCTACCCTGGCTATATATAAGGTCCAGGCTGCATTCCCCTTCTTGTTCTTTCAGTTGTGGATAGTGTCTATTCACTGAAGAAAAATAAGAACGTGTAGTTAGGCATAAAGAAAAAGATAGATGTCCCAAAAGCTCACCACTACTGGGTTAGTATGAGAGGTTTGGCATGGATCCTTCCAGATGTTTTCATAAGTGGCATAGTTATCTAACTTGATTCAAACATTGTAATATTATACCGAGGTATACTTCTGTTCCAGTTTCATTACTGCTGCTGTCATAAAATACCCTGACCAAGCTGGGCGTTGGTGGCGCACGCCTTTAATCCCAGCACTCTGGAGGCAGAGGCAGGCGGATCTTTGTGAGTTCGAGGCCAGCCTGGTCTACTGAGCGAGTTCTAGGACAGGCTCCAAAACAATACAGAGAAACCCTGTCTCGAAAAAACAAAAAAACAAAAAAACAAAAAACAAAAAAACCCTGACTGAGAGCACCTCTGGGAAGAAAGGGTTTGATTAAATTATAGCTCCAGGTTACATATCACTTCAGGGAAGTCAAGCAGCTGTCACATCACACGCAGTCTAGAGCAGAGAGGAAGGAACACACCTATGTCCTCTGTCTGCTTGTCCTTAATCTCCAGCTGGCTTTCCTCACTCACACAGCTCAGAGCCTGGCCACTGAATTGGTACTACCCACAGTTAAGGTCTACCTTGCCACCTCAATTAACAATCAAGACAGTTGCCCACAGGCCAACCTGATCTAGATAGTTCCTCAATTGAAACTCCTCACAGGTGAGTCCAGGTTTTGTTAAGTTGATGTTAAGTGCAAGCAATATAATATCCTTAGATAAAGAGGCTCACGTGCAGAATCTGACAATTTGTTCTTTCTATATTACCATATGATATCAGTGTCTTCCCTAGGTTTACAAAAACACATCAACCTGCTCTGTCTCCCAAGTGTTGGTATTTGGTAATATCCCCACTCCCACTTCATATCAGCACGGTTAAAGGCCCCACATAGCCCTTCTCTATGTAGAAACATATGCAAACACACATACAGATGTATTTACCTTGCCATTGGTGTCCACTTACATGTTTCTCATTATTATTAATGCTGCTACAGTGATCTTCCATGTTCAAACAAAGCAGACAAGCTTTATATGTCTACTTAAATAATTCTGAAGCTTTCCTGGAGGTGGCAGAGTTTAGCCAAATAGTATAGACTTAAAGCTGTGTAGGAATTTAAGTTGTGACTAACAGGAAGTGAATGAAGAGACTAGGATTTTAACCCTGAATTAATAGGGTCAGTATGTTCTGAATCCTTTCTCTGCAGATGAGTCTGCCCAGTGTCCCTGTCTTCCTGGAGGTTTCCGGCCAGTTTGATGTGGAGTTCCGGCTGACTGCTGCCTGCCGAAATGGGAGCATCTATATCCTGAGAAGGTAGCCACGGCTGTGGCCCCAGAGACTGGTGGTTTCAGAGGCTTGCAGGATGAACGGGAAGTCTGAGGGCTGGACTTTGGGATTGAACAGATAATGAGAATTTATAAAGGAGGTTGAATTGGTGAGGGCTGAAGGGAGAAGGAGGAGGCTGGCAAGGTGAGAGCCTGGCTCGATGGCTGTAATACATTAACAGCGCAAAGGTAGAGGAAACAGGTATAATCTCTTTTTCTTTCTTTTTTTCGAGACAGGGTTTCTCTGTAGTTTGGAGACTCCTGGAACTCTCTTTCAAGACCAGGTTGGGCTCGAACTCACAGAGATCCGCCTGCCTCTCCCTCAAGAGTGCTAGGATAAAAGGCGTGTACCACTACTGCCCAGATGACATAATCTCTTGTATTTGTTATATTGTTTTATAATATATGCATTAGTTTGCTATTCCAGAGAGTCTTTTTGTTTGTTTTTGTTTTTGTTTTTTGTTTTTTTTTTTCGAGACAGGGTTTCTCTGTGGCTTTGGAGGCTGTCCGGGAATTAGCTCTTGTAGACCAGGCTGGCCTCAAACTCACAGAGATCCACCTGCTTCTGCCTCCTGAGTGCTGGGATTAAAGGCATATACCACCAACGCCTGGCATTATTCCAGACAGTCTTAATTCAAGACTTTTATTGGGCATCTACTATGCATTCGGCATTGTACAGGGCGTTGGAAAGATGCTGATGATGGGATGCTGTAAATATGGTTCCTGCCTTCCTAAGGAAGACAGATACTAAAGATACTGAGAGTCAGATGAGTGCTTATTGAGAAGCAGTGGAGGCTCACTGGGAGGAGAAACATCATCTGTGGTGGTAGCTTGAAGGGGTGTGCACCTGTAGTACCAGCATTTGAAAGGCTGAGAACGGAGAATTCCTGGAGCCTGGGATTCTGCACCAACTTGGGTCAGAACAAGAGCCCAGAAGTCAGTAGATATTTATAGTCATTAGATGGCCTGAAGAAAAGTGTGTCACAGCCAGTGCTTGAAAGGCAGAAATTACCCACTGGGATAATTACATATGCAAACACACATACAGATGTATTTACCTTGCCACTTGGTGTCCACTTACATGTTTCTCATTATTATTAATGCTGCTATAGTGGTCTTCCATGTTCAAACAAAGCAGACAAGCTTTGTATGTCTACTAAAATAATTCTGATAATTTTGTAGAGGTGGCAGAGTTTAGCCAAATGGTATAGACTTAAAGCTGTGTAGGAATTTAAGTTGTGACTAACAGGAAGTGAATGAAGAGACTAGGATTTTAACCAAGAATTAACAGTTTCTTCTGGAAAAAAAAATCTAAGATGGAGAGACAGGAAAACTGAAGGTAACATCAATAGTAAATGCACCATACTTTTCTGATAAACCAGTAAACTTCCCAGGTCTAATAACACTGGTTAGACTATTCTAAAGTAAACATATTCACAATTCTGAAATCCCAGACTCTACTTGTCACCATTGTGAAGGACAGGAGGGGACAGAGTAGGGAAACATACCTTGGATAATACATTATCCAAGGTCACACATATACAAAGTGGTAGATGGAGAAATAACTCCATTATATACTCAGGACCAGGGTTGCTTTCAGGTTAATCTGAGGGTACTTAGAAGGGATAGGTCAGCCAGGGAAATAGAGGCAAGTCTTCTGGGTAGAGATTGTGTGTTTATTCCACAGAGACTCAAAACACCCCAAGTATTGCATCGAGTTGAGTGCCCAACCTGTGGGGTTGGTCCGGGTACACAAGATCCTGGTGGTGGGCAGCACCCAAGAGAGTCTGCATGGCTTCACCCACAAGGTGTGGTATCTGGCAACCCCCTCCCCCTCCCCTGTGATCCCAAAGCTTTCCCTTCCCTGCTGCTCCGGCTACCCTTACTTTCCACTTGAAGCCCTGAGCTCCCTGCAGACACACTGGCTGTTTCTTGCTAGGGTAAGAAGCTGTGGACAGTGCAGATGCCTGCAGCCATCCTGACCATGAACCTTCTGGAGCAGCGTTCCCGGGGCCTCCAAGCTGTCATGGCTGCTCTGGCCAATGGGGAAGTCCGCATTTACCGTGACAAGGCCCTGCTTAATGTCATCCATGCCCCTGTGAGCATACCTCCAGCATTTCCCCTGACTCTTCCTTACCCCAGACCTATATGTTCCCTTTTATAGTATTTTATTTAGTCTTTGACAATTTTGTACATGTATGTGATTGATCTCATTCACCCACATTCCCCTTTTAATACCCAACTCCCTCTGATACCATTTTCCCCAGCAGGTCTCTTCTACTTTCATGTCTTTTATTTTTTTTTAAATAATGTACTGAGTTTAACTGGCACGTGTATGGGGTGGGTGTATTTACTGAATCATGACCAACTTACCAGTGACTACAGCCCTACCTCCAGCAGCCATTGACTGCCAGTAGCTCCTTAGCTTGGGTTCAGCCTCATCAGCCCTCCCTCATCCATCTAGCCCTGCTTCTTCACTGCCTCTCCTGACCCCATAGGGACAAGTCTCAGAAATGCTGGTTGAACCCATCATGGTGTGTACAGTTGCTACATGAGGAACATTCTAGACCAGGAACAGCATGAACAAAGGCTGCAGGGCATAAAAGTTCTCTTTTTTTTTTTTTTTTTTTGAGACAGGGTCTAGCTGACCTGGAATTCACTATATGGACCAAGTTGGCCTCTAACTCACAGCGATCTACCTGCCTTTGTCTCCTGAGTGCTGGGATTTAAAGCCTGTGCCACTATGCCACTTTACTTTTATTATTGAAACATAATTACATCATTTTCCCTTTCTTCCCTCCAATCCTTTGCACATACCCATCCTCCTTTCCCCCCACCTCAAAATTGTGGCCTCTCTTTCTTTAGTTATTGTTTTCCACACACAATTTGATCAGTTCATTTTAGTATGTATATGATTTCAGGGCTGAGTACTTGGTATTGGATAACCGATTGGGATTTTTTTTTATTAAATTAATTTTGTGTGTATGGCCAGTGCCAGGGAGATCGGAGGACAATTTCAGGGATGAGTTCTACTTCCCCCAAGAGTTCTGGGGATTGAACTCAGATTGTTAGACTTGCACAGTAAGAGCTTTTACTCTCTGAACCATCTCACTAGCCCCAAGTGAACATTCTTAATGGAAAAATCCAGGTGGTTTTATGATCACTGTGTAAAATCTAAAAACAGTTGTTGGGCCTGATGGTACCAAGAGGGTAGGGGTTAGGAGAATAAAGAGGAGAAAACTGGGTAAGATAAATTGGAGTCTGATGTAGAATATCTTAAATATCCTGCCAAGAAAACCAAAAGCCGTTAGAGGTTTGTGGTTTTGAAAAGCAGTGGAGGCCACCAAGGACACAATGGAGACTAGGTGGCTCAAGAGACTGAATAAAAGGCCATCCCAAAAGAGAACTTTAGTGTAGAACTTCAGCAGGCTGGTAGATTGGATGAGAGATGGAAAATCCAAGAAATATTTCCAAAGCAACATTGCCATAGCTTTTCTTCACATCTCACCTGTTTTTACTTCCATCTGGGCTCTCCCCTCTAGGGTTATCTTGCTTTCCTTCTCAAGATACTTTCCCAGGTAAAATCTAGTTTCTCCACATAGGATGCTGTAACCAGCCTTTGCTTTGGCCGATACGGGCGAGAAGACAACACCCTCATCATGACCACTCGAGGTAAGTACTCAGATCTGGGAAGAATGGAGCAGGCATGGAGTGAAGAGGATGAGATGGGGGAGGGGGTGTGGATAGAGACAGGTGGAAAGCCAGGCCTTCAGACATGTCCTGTGTAAGGTTGGATCAGCTCATCAGCACTTGGATTTTTCTGCCTAGGAACTAATCCTGGTCAGGCTGGTGCCTCTCCAGTTTACCCAGCACCCTCAGCACCCACCATAGTGCCAAGAACATCACAGTACTTCATAAACAGCTACAAGATACATGAATGAACTGGTGATAGGGACTGATGGAAGCCGTGTGTGCTGTTACACACTGCAGGTGCAGCACTTGGGAAGGTGGAGGCAGGGGAATGAGGTGGTCAGGGCCATGTTTTGACACAGAGGGAATTCAAGGCTCTCCTAAGCTTTGAATTCCTTAGGAGAAAAAACAGGCTCAAGATATTTCATTCCTTCTAGCAAGTGAGTCTCATCATAAAGACAGACATGTATGTGCATAATTGTTTTGGGAGGAAAGGGAATGTGAGGTAGGACAGGGGAAAGAATCTGGTTCTTTTGCCCACTTCTTAGGGGGTGGCCTGATCATCAAGATCCTGAAGCGTACAGCAGTGTTTGTGGAAGGGACAGGTGAGACGGGCCCACCACTAGCACAGACCACAAAACTCAGTGTGCCCCGAAAGACCCGGCTGTATGTGGATCAGACCCTGCGAGAGCGGGAAGCTGGCACAGGTAAGACTTGGAGAACACAGGGAATCCCACCCTTGAGTATGAGAGGGACCTTAGCCAACAGTAAAGGTCAGAAGTGTAGGCATCAAGTAACAACTAATCCTCAAGGCAGAGAATGCTGTTAGTGACATTCAGGGCCTCACCATTCAGAGCCAGCAGTTACTTCCCAATGCAGGACTTCTCAAGAGAAAAGGAGAGATTCATCAGGATTCTTCCTCTTGTTAAGTTTTCCTGCTCACCCATTCATTTGTTACCTGTGATGATAACCAGGCACACTGGGTGTCTTGAATTGGGCCATCCCTTATCTTGGGAGCTCAATCCATCTGGCCAACTTTATGTCTGGTGCTAGATGGTTTCTCCCAAGGGCTGCTGGAGCATAAACAAAGGGAGTGAAAACTATTGCTGGGCGTGATGATGGTGCTTCCCTTTAATCCCAGCACTTAGGATGCAGGAACAGTAGATCTGTATGAGTCTGAGGTCAGGGAGAAGTTACACAGTAAGACCCTATCTCAAAAACAAACCAAACAAAATACAACAAAATATATAAATGAAACAATGGATAAAGAGAGTTAAGTCCTATCAGATGACCAGATATAAAAATCTTAGAATCTCATAACCTTGAACTAGAGAGATGCCTCAGCAGTTAAGAGCACTGAATGCTCTTCCAGAGGATCCAGGTTTGATTCCCAGCACCCACATAGCAGCTTACAACCATCTTAAGGTCTTTTTCAGTGGGTCTGATGCCACCTTCTGGCCTCTACAGACACTGTACTTATGTGCACATACACATACATGTTAGGTCCACACACATTAAAAATAAATAAAAATTGAAAAACTTGGACACTTTTTATATGTACCACTAATATCTGACTAACAAATATGGCAGAAAATGTTCTGTTTACAATAGCAAAGAGATCCCTAGAAATAAATATAGTGAGAAAATGCATAAAGTCTAGTAAAGAAAATTGTAAATCTATCTTCATGATGGATGTGGTGGCACACACTTTTAATCCCAGCACTTGGGAGGTGGAAGGTGGGATATCAAATTCATGTTCAGCCTTGGCTGTGAGACCCTGATTACAAAACAAAAACAAGAGCAAAAGACAGTACCAAGGCAATTAAAGTGGGGGCTGTGACTCTAGGAGTGGTTTTGAAGGAGGGTCATCTGCACCTGGCAAATGGTTAGGGTAAGAGATGAACCAAGGGGACATGGAGACGGGTGCAGTGGGTGGGGCAGGTGCAGTGAGTGACTTGGGGTGAGACTGTTTTCCATTATGTTGAACTTAGGGTAGATAGGACCTCAGATGGAGATGGCTATGGGGCAGTTCAAAGCTGAGGCAGGCCTGGGCACCCAAAAGCTGCAGGGGACACACTACACAACACTATCTGCATATCTGGAGCTTGGCATGTAGACATCGGAGCAAGTTTGAAGTCTTGAGCTGGAAGCTGATGTTCTTTGGGGTGGCCAGAGGCAATGCAGGTCCTGTAATCCAGAGAACAAGGTGGTGGGTGAGAAGACCAAAGCCAAGACCAGCCTTGAAACGGGGAACACCAGTCTTGAGGGCTGGACAGAAGGAGCCAGGGGTGGAGACCAAGATTAGGAGGAAATAGGGTATGGTCCACAGCATCCAGTGTGGCACTCCTGTCCCTATAATGCCAGCGTCTGCAGGCCTTGCCCCTGCCTATCATGCTGCCTTCTCCATTCTTACATAATCTGAACAAGAGCACTCTCCCCCCACTGCTTCACTCAGCCTTCGTGTTCCCCCTGCAGCCATGCACCGAACCTTCCAGACAGACCTCTACCTACTGCGCCTGCGGGCTGCCAGAGCCTACGTACAGGCCCTGGAGTCCAGCCTGAGCCCCATGTCAACCACAGCTCGGGAGCCACTCAAGCTGCATGCTGTGGTAAGCACCAGGTGTAGGGACACTAGGGGCAAGGGTGAGTGGGATCCTCCTGTGTCGTTGGTTGTTGTAGTCTTTGCTCGTTTGAGGGCCCGCCACCCAGCTCCCAAGCAAACACACATGGAGATTTTTTCTTTCTTATGGATGCCCGGCCTTAGCTTGACTTGTTTCTAGCCAGCTTTTCTTTTTTATCTATATCTATCTGTGTATCTATTTATCTGTCTAGATACCTATTTTGTATAGTGTTCTGGCATGCATGCCAAAAGAGGGTATGGGATTTCATTATAGATGGTTGTGAGCCACCATGTAGTTGCTGGGAATTGAACTCAGGACCTCTGGAAGACTAGCCAGTGCTCTTAACCTTTGAGCCATCTCTCTAGCCCCTAGCCAGCTTTTCTTACATTAAATTATCCTGTCTACTTTTTGCCTCTGGGCTTTTATCTTTCTCTATTTCTGTATGCCTTTCTTTACCCGTGGCTTGATGTATAGCTGGGTGACTGGTCCCTGGAGTCTTCCTTTCCTCCTTTTCTTGCTCCTCGATCTCCTCACCACCCCCCCAAATTTCTCCTCCTATTTATTCTCTCTGTCTACCAGGCCCGCCTATCCTTTCTCCTGCCTAGCTATTGACCATTCAGCTCTTTATTGGACCAATCAGGTGTTTTAGACAGGCGCAGTAACAAGAGTTAAACAAATGCAACATAAAATAATGCAACACATCTTTGCATCATTAAACTGTTCCACAGTATATGCAAATGTAACACATCTTAAAATTATATTCTTCAATACTCCTGCTGTATAGGTGAGCACCCAGAGCCAATGCCAAGCCACCCAGCCGTGTGCTCCCTTCTCACCTCCCCACAGATCTAGAGACTGAGGCCTGTCCTCCTGGAGGGCTGCTCTTACCTCCCATACTGCTTCTCAGGAGGGCTGCTCAGTCTTCTATACTGTCCTCTCTGTGGCTGGCTACCTCTGCTCCATGCTGTACCTCAAATAAACCCCTGGACTGGAGTGGGGTATAAGCACAGAGTAGTTACAATGGGACATTTCTTCCCAGGAATCGGAATGATTCTGTTGGCCACAGTTCAAGGAAGAGAGTGACTTATGTTGGCATGGGCAGCCTAAGGGAGTAGGACTTCCTGGTACAGGGAAGAGTCACTGTGAATAGGTGTCCTGGGCATGTACACACACACAGACCCATACATACAGACACACAGACACATACATATAGACACACATACAAATACATACAGATACAGACTCATATACAGACAGACAGACAGACAGACAGACAGACACACACACACACACACACACACACACACACACACACACACACACACACACACACGAGCAACCTCAAGGCCCATAGGGCCCCAACCAGTTCAACCAGTTCTCAGTGAGCCTAAATGTATTGTCAAAGCCACCCATATTCTAATTGCTCTTTTTTCTTCTTCTTCTTTTCCCCCACCAAGACAGAGTTTCTCTGTAGCCCTGGCCTTCCTGGAACTCACTCTGTAGACCAGCCTGGCCTCAGATTCAGAGATCTGCCTGCCTCTGCTTCCAGAGTGCTGGAATAAAGATGTGTGCCACCATGCCCAGCTTCAGTTGTTTCTTTTCTGAACAGGTGGCTAGAGAGAGAAGAAAGGGCTACGTAGCCACTTAGAATGGAGCTGTAGGGGGCGTTTAAATCATTGAGCCATTGGGATAAGAGTAGAAGGCCATCAGGCCCTGGAGTCAGTGATGAGCACAGCTGCAGCCCCAAGCCATCTTTATTCACAGCTCCTTAAGTAGTCTCTATCAAGACCTTCCTGATTTGTGCCTTCGCCATCTTGGACTTCTGTGTCCTTTAAGAAGCAGATGGACAGAACTGGAAAATGGTGGCTTGAGGGCATTGATGGGGAAGCAGCAGGCAAGGTGGTGTGGTATTCAGTGTTCAAGGCCAATGGGTCCTGAGGGCCTCTCGTCTACTCTTTACACAGGTTCAAGGCCTGGGTCCCACCTTTAAGCTCACACTTCACCTACAGAACACCTCGACAGCTCGGCCAGCACTGGGGCTGCAGGTCTGCTTCCTGTACAATGAGGCCCTCTATGCCCTGCCCCGGGCCTTCTTCAAGGTACTGGGTCTCCACGTTGACGCCATTATTGGGCTCCAAAGTCAGGGCTGGAGCTGATGAGATGCTCCTGTTAGGCTGAGGTAAGGGAGTAGCCAGCAGACCAACACAAGCCAGAGACCAGGCTCAGTTCCTGTCTCCAATGCCTTTCTCCCGGCCAGAGAGACCCCAGGGAGCCACACAGAGGAGCTGGAAAAGAGCAGAGTGAGCTCTTCCTTTGTCCCCTGCCCCATGCTGTTGGGGAGGAGGATAGCTCCAGAACTCATGCTGCTTCCTAGCTGTTCCTGCTGGAGAAAATGAGCCACCTTCTGCCTCAGTCACTACAGAAGCAAAGGACCAGTTTCCCCAGGGCTCAAAGTGTCCTCAAGTTTGGAGAAGTAATAACCAAGACTCTTGGATAGGGAGGAATCAACCCTGACCTTAGTAGCTGTCCGTGGGTCTAGGTTTAATGTATCTGTCCGTGGGTCGAGGTTTAATGTATCTGTCCGTCGGTCTAGGTTTAATGTATCTGTCCGTGGGTCGAGGTTTAATGTATCTGTCCATCGGTCGAGGTTTAACCATGGATATATATGAGCCCCAGGCATGCACTTACCCTCCCTGCGCATTGCTCCCTGGATCTGGCTAGTCATCCCTACCCAGGCTGAAAGATCCTGAGAAGCAGCTAAGAGGACAGGCACAAATGCTTTGAAGGCTGCCAAATACTGTCTGGGTATGTGGGCTTTGAGGTCTAGTTTATTTTTGTCCCTCAAACATAGGTCCCTTTGCTGGTGCCAGGACTCAGTTACCCGCTGGAGACCTTTGTGGAGAGTCTCAGTAGCAAGGGCATTTCAGACATGATCAAGGTAGGTTGCCTTTTGGTATTTCAGAGGCAAGTGGGACCCTGGGGAAGGCTGTAGGATGAGGGTGGACAGGACTCTGGGATCTGGGACTCTGGGACATATCTGCAGTGGGATATGTCAGCACAGCAGAGGCCTCCCAGCCTTCCCATCCCTCTGACAGATAGGCTGGTAGCCTATCATTTGAGGCAGCACAGACAGAAGATTTGGTATTAGCAAAGAGGAGAGGTCAAGGTGTGTGCCCACTCTGCCATGTCTTCTCCTCCCTAGGTGCTGGTGCTCCGGGAAGGCCAGAGTGCACCCCTGCTGAGTGCCCACATCAACATGCCTGTGAGTGAGGGCATGGCAGCTGCCTGAGCCCTGGGCCAGCATTCAAGCCTCCACACAATGGAGCCAGCCAGATCCACAACTTCAGTGCCCCCAGGCCATGCCCCCACACTGCAGGGTAGTGAGGCATCAGCTTTCTGTGCCTCTCTGAAATAGTCCCTGCTCCCTACTCTCGCCACTGGGCCTGACCCACAAGACAGGGAGTGCTCGGAATCAGCAACTCCTCCCTGGGAACCCTCTAGAGCACTGACCTGCTGCCTACCACCCTTCCCCGCTCTTTAAAGAAACCTCAGGTCCTAGGAAGAGACCTGAGGTGACCAAGGTGAGCAGAGGCCCCATCCTTCCTTACTTCACTCATCTGTTTGAGATCAGCTCAAGGTCTTGGCCAGGAATTCGGCTGCAACTGCTCTGTTGCCCTTTAAGGTTTCAGGGGGCAGACACATGCGCTAAGCTCCCTCATGATAAAGGGACTCCTCTTTCTACCTTGCAGCCAGGAGACACAGGGCTGTCCACAAGTCTTAGACCAGCCACAAAGATTGCCAGAGGAGGTGGGGCAAGAGGTAGAGGAGATCCCTGTGAGGGGCTAGTGGTCCAGCCCCAGCCAAAGCTCCCACACTGCAGCTGCTCCTGACCTGAACGCTCGCATCCACAGCATCATTCCTGAAATGGAATACCAGCCTAGATAGCAGAGCTAGGGCTGACGACACCAGGAAGACCTGGGAAGTGGCCCAAGAAGCTGTGCCTACAAGTACCTGTCAGGGTACACTTAGGCCCAGGAACACAAGATGGTCCAGAGGGTCAAATGTTTCTGTGCAGTGGCCAGAATATGCACAAGGTCCCTGAAAAGGTACACATGAGTGGTATAGAACGAAGTTGAAGGCTAAATGTGTTTAAATTACAAGGGCCAGCAACCTCTGGCCCTCCTCAAAAACCATTCTGAACCACTTGAGAACCAGGAGCCCTGCTCCATGGAGACCAATATTTTCTCCTGTCTGACCAGGTTCAGCCTGGTGTGTGGCACAGGTACTATGTGAGTGGGGTTGTGATGTTACAAGTTGTGTATGGGGTCAAATGACATTCTAGTCCCTTTCGCCCCAATCAAGCTGTGAAATAAGAACAAAACATTTAATGTGCTCTCTCTCCATAGCTGTTCATGATGATACAAAGGAGAGACACATGCCCAGGCCCTACGATGTAACACAGTATCATTCTATGCACTGGTTAGCAAGAAATGTGTGGCTGGGCCAATGGTTGTGCTCACCTTTAATTCCAGCACTTGGGAGGTAGAGACAAGCAGGTCTCTGTGAGTTCTAGGCCAGCCTGGTCTACAGAGTGAGTTCCAGGACAGCTGTTACTGTTACCCTGTCTAGAAAAAAAAAAAAAACAAAGAGGAGGGGGAAGAAATGTATGTCCTGCCCCTTATGGACACAAAGGAACATGAACTTAAACAGTGCAGAGTGCCCAGTACACACAGGAGTGAGAATGCTAAGAAATTATGAACATTAAGGATGAGAAGAGTCTATATCTGTTTTCATAATACTTCATTTGAAGTACACACCTATGTAGTGATCTGGAATAGACTATTTAATATAAAATAAATGCCTTCTTCCTATTCCACAGGACCATCCCGTTCAACAGCCATTTTCATTAAGTTGTTTTATTTATTTATTTTTTCTTTTTGAGATAGGGTTTCTCTGTGTAATGGCCCTGGCTGTCCTGGAACTCACTATGTAGACTCCACCTCCCAAGTGCTGGGATTAAAAGTGTTCACCGCCGCCCAACTTCATTAAATATTTTAAAAATACGTATAAACTTTAAAAAAGTTTTCCTTTTAATTATGTATGTAAGGTTTATGTCCATGAGTACAGGTGCCTGAGGAGGCCAGAAGAGTGTGTTGGATCCTCAGGAACTGAAGTTACAGGTGGTTGTGAGCTACCCAGTGTGGATGCTGGCAGCTGACCTGGGTCTTCTGCAAGAGCAAGGGTTCTTAACCACTGAGCCATCTCTGCAGCCCCTGTACTACTCTCGATTCAGTTATCCATCTTAAACATCTTTTGACTCTGCTGTAATAGATGAAGCTTTAGTGCTATTGAGACCCCTCCCCTGCTCTCCGTGTTTTAGGTCATCTATACTCACTGTTTGCATTGATATATGAAAATTTTAGTAAAGCTGAGAATTAACTAAATAACCATTTTTGAACTTTTAGATCTTTTCATGGAATTGGTACCTGCTTTATTTTATTGCTTAGTTTCCTAATATACAATTGAAAATTTTCCTCTCCAATCTTGGTTCTTTTCTCAGCACACTTCCTTCATACCTTACTTCTGTGTAGACTCCTGTAAGAGAGTTCCCTTTTCCCTGATTTCTGAGCTCTGTGTCTTGTTTTGTTTTGGTTTTCACGACAGGGTTTCTCTGTGGCTTTGAAGGCTGTCCTGGAACTAGCTCTTGTAGGCCAGGCTGGTCTCGAACTCACAGAGACCCACCTGCCTCTGCCTCCCGAGTGCTGGGATTAAAGGTGTGCACCACCACTGCCTGGCCTTTTTTTTTTTTTTCTTTTTTCTTCATGTCTTCTTTCTTATTCTGCCCTCATTTGGTAAAAGATATCCATGGGTGACTTCTTTTTAGAATCCAAGCCTTTATACCACTGCTGTATTCTGGACATTGCTGTATTCAGCTCACAAGCTGGGAATAGTTTTCCATAGATAAAGCTCCAGGGTCCTCTGTCTTCTGTGCTGTTTCTCCTGGGTCCTGATTGTTGCTTCGTGAGGTGGGGATAGATAGGCATTCCTTCCCAGAGCTGTACTATTCTCTCTGGAGCTCCAGTTAAGCCCAACAGCTGATAAATGGTTGTTCCTGAGAGAACTGGATTGATCCTTATTTTCTTCTCTCCTGTCGCGTTCATTGTTTGCTCTGTTTTCTGAGACTGAGAATTTTGTTGGCTTTTAAGTTTCAAACCGTTTTCCTTAGTCCACAGTTCATCCTCTGTTCAGTCCTCATGGTATCCATTCAAAGATGTATTTAACTTTTGCATTTATTTGTGTGTGTGTGTGTGTGTGTAGCCTAACATTATCTAATTTTAAAAATTCATAGTGAACTTTAAACAATTTATTCCCTTTAAGTCAGAAATGGGCTAGGGGGGACTCAGTGATTAAGAGCACTTGCAAAGGATCTGAGTTCAGTTCCTGACACCCATATGGTATGGCTCATAATTGTCTGTAACTCCAGTTTCAGGGGACCAGACCATCACTTTTGGCCCTAGGCACCCACATGGTACACACACATACATGTAGGCAGTTATACACATGAAATTTTAAAAAGTTTAAACTAAAGTAAAAAGCCAGGTGGTGGTAGCACACACTTGTAATTCCAGCACTTGAGAGGCAGAGGCAGCCCTGGTCTACAAAACGAGTTCCAGGATAGCCAGAACCGTTACACAGAAAAAAAAAACAGCAGCAGCAGCCAGATATGGTGGTTCACACTTTTAATCCCAGAATTCAGGAAGGCTCATTTTCAAATACAAAAGTGAACCCACTCAAAAAGCATGTTTATCAGAGAAAAAAAAACACTTAAAGCTGATATGGTGGTGCACGTCCTTAATCCCAGCACTTAGGAGGCAGGCAGATCTGTGAGTTTGAGGACAGCCTGGTCAACATAGTAAGTTCTAGGCCAGCCAGAGCTATAAAGTGAGATCCTGTCTCAAATACTAAGAAAATATTCATTGAGATAAACCATGTTCATGAACTTGGACAGCTGAATCTCACAGATGCTGGTTTTCGCCAAGCTGAGGTACAATTGTTGGGCTCTACTGAATACAAGGTGAGCTTTTATTGGTGAGATCCGAGGAGCTGGCTCTCAGATTGGTGTGGAAGAGCAAGGGCTCCTCGTGTGTGATTCTCACTAAGTAGGGGCAGAAAAAAATGATCAGTGGAGCAAAACAAAGTTTAGTTGTGTTATATTCAGAGCTCCCTGTGGGAGAAAAAGTACCATACCACTACATGCAGTAATTTGGACACATCTCAGAACCAATATTGAGTGAAAAGGCAAGCCACAGGGGGAAAAAAACCTGGTATGATTCCATTCATATACAACCAAACATGCAGAACCAATACAAACACTTGTAGCGAGAAAAGGGAGGACACAGCAGGGACTTCAGAGAGTGGCTGTTTTCCCAGACTAGCTGTGGTGAGGGTTCCAAGGAACCTTTCATATCTCAGAAACACATGAAAATTAAATATTCTGCAGGGGGAGGGGCAACACAGGACACCAGATTGCCAACGCCTCACTCGGCACCGAGTGTTCCTAATGTCTTTCTAAAGTAACAGCGTGCTGAGTGGCAATCAATGGCCTCTAGGAGGACAGGCAAAGCCTGTCAGGAGGGTAGACTCCGGGGACTTGGCACATTATCTGCAGATGACAGCCAACATTTTCTATGGATTTAGCTCTATTTTTTATCCAGCCCCTCCCCCCAGTCCTTCCTTTCCTGTTGGCCCTGAGACCCAGAGCTGCTCTGGTCCAGTCTGTCTTCCCTATTAGCTACCACTCCACCACCACCTCCCAGAGGGAGGCTGCAGGGGTGGATGAAGTCTGTGGAGAGAGCAGTCCACACTTCCTGATCCAAACTGTCCAACACCCCACCCAAGATTAAACCAAAGCCGAACCTCACCTTCCAAGTGGGGAAGTTCTGCCTTGATTATCTTCCCTTCTCTTTAGGAATATGTAATTTTTATTGATTTATTTTTATTTTCTCTACTAAGACAAACACGTTCCCAAATTCTGTCATGTTTCAAAACATTGTTAGGTTCTTTGGTATACAAACATCTATCTCCGTTCCCCTTATAAATTTATATTATTTTTACTTCTCTATTATTTTATTGAGTCTAAAGGCAAACAGAGTTAACTGGGGGTTCTGAAGCCTGCTGTGTTTACCTGTTAACTATATTTACATCAGATGCTGAGAGCTGGGCATGTGGATTCACCACACCTGTAATTCCCAGGCTTTGGAAGTCTGAGGCAGGAGGTTTGCTGTAAGTTCCAAGCCAGCCTGGGATACTAAATGAGTCCCTGTCTCAATAAGTTTCAAAAGCAAAAAGGGGGCTGGAAATGGCTTAATGGTTAAGAGTGTATATTACTCTTGCAGAGGACCCAAGTTTAGTTTTCAGCATTCACATCAGGTGGCTCACAAAAGTCCAGCTCCAGGGTATTCAGTGCCCTCTTCTGGTCTCCATGGGCACCCGTATATACATGCCCATGCATGCATGAAAGTACACACACACACATTAAAAACATCCTTCGCAGGCTCTGGAAGCTGTTTGGTTTTGCTCTGATGTTTCTTCTACTCACTTTAGCTGTGAAAAGTAAAGCAGAGTCAAAGACCTGAGTTCAAATCTAACCTCTTAGGCCAGGCATGGTGGTGAATGTTTTAATTGTAGCACGCAGAAAGCAGAGGCAAGCCAGTTTTGGTGGTGCATGCCTTTAATCCCAGCACTCGGGAGCAAGAGGCAGGCACATCTCTGAGTTTGAAGTCAGCTTAGTCTACAAAGTGAGTTCTAGGACTGCCAAGGCTACACAGAGAAACCCTGTGTCAAAAACCAAAACAACAAAAAAGCAAGAAGCAGGTGGATTTCTTTGAGTGAAGGCCAGCCAGCCTGCAAGATCTACATTTCTATCCTACAATCTTGTCACATGGCCTGGCAGTACTTTGATTTTACAGAACAAAGATCCTAACTTTGGCCCCACATACAGGTGAGCTAAAGGTCTTCCTTGAAACCCCTGCTGCAGAGATGTTTCAGTGGAGTGCTACCCTCTAGAGTACAGTTGGATTCTCCTTGCCTGAACCCCACTACACCCTTCCAAGGCCGGAGCAGGCAGAGCCCCAGCCCATTAGCATCTCACACCTTCTGTCGTCTCCAGGTCTGATAATCATGGGAACCGGAAAACAGTGAGCACAACAGTAAAGTGAGGGGTGGGAACCCAGCAAAGACCGGGAGGCCAAGAAACTGATGGGCACTTTACCAGCCTGGCAGACGGGCAGACAGGCTGGCCAAGTAGCCCCCTTGCCAGACCCTTCTCTGCCAAAAGTGACTGAGTTGCTGTGTCTGAACTCTACATATGGAAGAGCCCACACTGGACAGGTCCATGGAAGGAGCTAGAGCTGCCACTATAGGCATGAAGGGCCAACCTGGCCTCCTTCCTGTGGCCGACATGGAACTGAAAGCAAATTCCCAGTTCCCTCCTCTGCTCCCTTCCTCCCTATTCGGTTCTGGCTCTATCCGGACTCATGAAGCCACAAGACCCACATCAGCTGGGGTCTGGAAAGTGATCCCATCTCCAGGCAAAGGGGAGGCTAGGAAAGGCCAGAACCAGACTAGGGCCCAGTGTGGCCCCAGGGCTGCCTGTAGGTTGTGGCAGGTGCCCAGGTCATAGGAGTGCTGACCCCGAGCCCACTCCCAGGTTGTCTGGCCCCGCAGCAGCAGCATCCCATGGAAAAGCAGTCCAGCACCACACAGCAGTGCACCTGCCACACACGTGTCCACCACAAAAGCTAAGGCGAACTGGGCGAGAGACACTTTGCCTGTGGGGAGAAAACAGAAAGGGTCTCAGGGGATAGCAGTTGGCTGGCCTT